TATCAGACTGTTTCCAGCTAAAGTAATAGATATTATACTGGGATTAAATATATATACATACAAATATTCATTAATATTTAGATTATTTGTCAGGGATATTGTTATATTGGGTTGGGAGGTCAAAATAAAGATAAGATTACTTTAAACTTGAAATCCTCCTTGAAGAGTTTGTTGCTGACTTCAGAGATGGCCTTCTGGAAGAAGCCCACAGGCCTCACCACAAACACCCCCTGGATCAGGCCTGGGAAGTAGCCCTGTACATGCAACAGTCCTTGTTGCTCCGGCTGTGGCAGTGAAGGGACTTAGGACCTACAGAGATCTTGAGGAGAACTGTCTTCACCGAGCTCCACTTATCATTCCTCCGGTCAATGACCAGAACAAATCCCAGGTCTGAATCATGCATCCTGTAACACAGATTACACTTTTACCTTGGGCAACTGGCAATGGCCAACTTGACAAAATATATACCTATATGGTCACTAGAAAATACATTTCTCCTACTTCTTTAATTCAACACCTGGTGGGATCAGAATTTTTTTGTTGAATTAAAGTAAATAGGTTGAATTATATAGAGCACAAGTTTTTAAATACAGTTGGTATTGAATTACAGAGTTTCTACTCTATGTGTTGTAATACAGTAAAACTTCTTTGTAAAGGACCAACATCTAATTGCAGAGCCAAAGTGTCTTTTATGGAGAGGTGTCCTCTTACCAGAGAGTTGCTAAATTGTAAAAACGGTAATTTTGCAAATGAAAACTGTCCTTTGTAGATAGGTGTCCGCTAAAGGGAGGTTCTACTGTACCTACAATCTACTCGTAATATATCTTAAATTGGTAAAATAAGTAGAGAAACATGAAGTATACAAGGGGGAGTAGACATGAAGTAATCAAAAAGTAGGCAAAAGTATATGAGAAATGGATTAAGAAGAATTATACAGGTTAATAAGAAATATCTGAGATATATATATGTCATAATATATGCTCTTCCAGGAATAATAAAGTAAATCTACAGTCGACCAGAGAGAGAGAGAGACGTAGTCGATAGAAGGCAACTAAGTTACGGCCATTTTGAACCACTGGCCACATGCCGGAGGGGGCTTTTCTTGGAACCCTCAGACCTATTTTTGGAGAGTTGGGGGGTGGTTTTGGACAAAAACGGTCGTTCCGCAGTGACAGCCCGCGCGCTAGCTCTCTCTCGCTGGTTACCTGGGTGATTCCTCTACCAACTCGTCGTGTGATTATTTCTCTTTCCCCACCACATTATTATCACCATATTGCCACATTGAAAGTCGACAGGATCATATCACATATATATATATGAAATAAATAAAAAAAATAGACAAGTGGTATATACAAGAGTTTTACATCAATTATACAATAGGTATACAAGGAGACAAGAAGTATATACAAAAGGTCTCTACCTCAAATTAAGTATTCAAGAAGTATATACAAGAGATAGGCATTAAGTAAACAAGAAGTGTGGCATAGAGCATGCATCATGTTTATACTTTCAAAGGACTAGTATGTAAATAGAAGTAAACACCATGATGGTGAGATCCATGGGTAGCTACTTCCTTAACATTAAATATACAGCAAACACCTGTGGTATGCCCTGTGGTTACAGAGCCATGTACTTGAACATCACTTGTGCCAATAGAGTGAAATTGTTAAGCCAATAGATATCATTTCCTGTGCTTACAAATGGAATGAAAGAATGTGTTATTGACATGGCTCCTCTCACAGAATAACACACTTTGTCTTTCTACTTGTATAAACCCATCATTTAGGAAGTATTTTTAATCACAAATTATCACAATTAAAGGGTAACATGAACACATCCAAATAATGCTGTTTACAAAACATTATGCACAATTTATCAATTTGGATTTGGTCTTAATTGTACATTATCATTATTACAACAAATATTATTTTAAATGGTGAGACAAATTAAATACACTCATCGACAAAACTTAAGGAATTAATGTCACCAGCTATCTATTTTTTTAAAAAAAGGGACAGAGGCTGTTTACACTTGGTTATCTCGTGTGTCTTCATTAAATATCACTGTGATATCTTTCAGAGTTATTATCTGAATTCCAATATTACATGCTAAAAGGTACAACTTAAGTTTTGTTCATGTATTCAAATAGTTAATATATTTGTGCCTATTGTGTTTATTCTGACAAGTAAATTTTCATAGAGTAATGATACACTCAGGAGAAATATATTGTTGTTATTTTTTGTATAAGAGCACATTGGTGTGATTATTTTTCATATTCGAATATGCAAATATAGACACATTTGTAGGTAAAAATGTAAGAAATTTGAGATGAAAGTCAATGACCTCAACTTTTGTTTTTTCAACTATTATAGTACAACTTCTTTTATTACACACTCCAAGGAATTAGAATTTTGATATCAGCATTGAATTAAAGTCAGTTAAAATGAATTCATCAAAACTTTCAGTGCTAGTGGAAATTTTTCTAGAACATTTTGTTGTCAATGCTTTAGGGGATGTTGAATTATGGCTAGCTGGTTAAATTAAAGATGGTAATTTGAAAGGAGAAAAGGTTGGAATTTGAAAAATTTGTTGAATTAAAGTAAGTATTGAATTATAGTCAGTTGACTTAAAGACGTTATACTGGAAACATTATGTATATACATTATGTAAATATATGTATATATTTGCACACCTTTGCAGATCAATTGGCCATTATGATGTATGATTAAATGAAAATTGCCATTTTAAACAATAAAACAAAACTTGTTACAAATTATATGGAAAAAATAGTAAAAAAGTTAAATTGTATTGGGATCAGGTTGATAAATAAATTAAAAAAAAAAGGCAAATCCTAATTGTGTAACTGAAACATTCTGATGGCTTGTGTTGTCTTATTCCAATAGATAGCTCAAACCATCAGGAAACTTTTTTATTCTTTGTAAATTGGTCCTTAGTTTATTATATATGACATAATAAAAATATGATTTTTATTATTCATTAATATAATTAAAATTTTATAATCATAACCATTATATTTATTAAAATTGTTTTCATAATATAACTAAAATTATAATTTAAATAATCAAAGTAAAACTAAACACGGAGTTAATTTTTAAAATGAAAAGGAATCCTTAACAAAAGGAATATAACCTAATTTTACTTTCATTGTAAATAGATAATAACATTGTTAGTTGTATGTATGCAAAAAATTGTTTGCTTTAAAAAATAATCAAAATAATAAATATTTTTTGGAACAAAAGTTATCATTCATTTTTACCATCCACGACTTCAAGAATTGGTAACGTAACTAGAATATACGTCTTTTTTTTATGACATATATACTTAATTACAATGATCCTTTAGCTAGGAATGGCTGTTTAAAGGAAGGTAGGTATCAACTTACGGGGGAATGCTGGTGAGGTAGAGCATTAGCTTGCGATAATCCTCGTCAGGCAGTGTGTAGAAGGTGCCGGTGTCAGGGAAGGTGATGATGGGACAGCCCTCTGTGTTACAGCCACCTACCCCACACACACACACACACTTCAACATCATAACTCCACCTTTGCCGGTCCCAAGCCCGGATGAAAAAGGAGGAGGGGGAGCAGTAACAAGCTCACTAAAAAACCTGGGCTCAGCTGGCCCGGCTGATAGTACCCTGTAAGGGCTCCTAATCCAGGGATAAAGGATGAGCAGCATTTGTACTCCATGTTAGGAGCATCTGCACATGGCATCTGTTCCTCATGTCAGAGGCGGCCATTTCTTTTGGAGCTAAGTCGGCCTGCCACTGAGTAATGCTCCCAGTCTTAATGAAAAAGGCAGATGCATTCTACTTCATCCAGTCATGATGGTTGTCAAGTCTCAAGCTCTACAAGCTTGATACCCTTATATGATTGAGTGGAGATAAGAAAGAAGAAGATCAACTTCTTTGAATCACAATTAGAGCTGGATTTTTAGCATTTTTAGCATTGGTACCCAAACATATTCTTTGCTTAGAAATACAAGGTAATAAGACCAAATTTTTAGATTTGGTCTTATTACCTTGTGTTTCTAATCTATAATCCAAATTGTGCCTTATCATCTGATTTCCTTGTTTAGACTTGGTCTTGTTACCTTGTGATTCTTTTCTATAAACCATATTGTACCTCTCATCTGCTGTGTCACATATATTATAAAAGGTACAACATCTATATATATAAAAATGAATGTTTGTATGTTTGTATGTCCGGTATACAAATTCGCAGTAGTTCACTAATTCAAACCAAAATTTCCATACATAGGTAAAAAAATATGGGAACGACGATAGGCTATTTTAAAAAATATATAAATCAATTATTAAAACTATATATTCAAATTATTCTACTTAGCTCACGAACAGCGCCCTCTATCAAAGATTAGATTAAATTATGCTGATGCGAACAAATAGATAATGCTAATAACAAACAATTATAAAAAAAAATCTTATCTAAATATATATCACTCGGGTAGATATGCACACGGGTCAATCCCGGGGCGAAGCCCGGGTAACCCATCTAGTATATTATAAAAGGTACAATATGGATTGTAAATATAAGAACCATATGGTAACAACAACAAAAAAATAAATCCAAATAAGTAATTTACAGTAGAGTAGAATCTCTATGAGAGGATACTCTGCTAGAAGACACCTCTCTATTAAGGGAAGTTTTGATCACCAAAATTGACACTTTTACCATTTAGCTGCTCTCGAGTAAGAGGGCACCTCTTTGTCTCTACAACTAGATGTCCTTTAGAGAGAGGTTTAACAGTATAACCTATAATTCAACTGATTATAATTCGACCAATTTTTTTACATAACAATCAGCCTATCTGTAAAGCGACATTTGAAAATGATCCCGCATGTGTTTCTTTTAAACGAAAAATTTAAATTTATTTTCAAGGAGAAATAACGATCACTTCCAACCTTAGAGATGAATTATGAAAGGATGAATTGTGAAGAGTAATGATAAACAGAAAAATAAAAGTGTCCAGGGATGGGAAACGAACCCACAGTGTTCCGCTTACCGGGCAGATGCCATGTCCAATAGGCTACCCTTGTAACTGACTGTTTAACTGACTATAATTTAACACTGACTTTTTTTCAACTGTAAAGTCTGGTCCTTTGGGGACATAGAATTAAAGATGTTAAAAGACTGTACGATCAAATATTGTCAATAATATCAAATACAGATCTTACTGCAATGATAGAAATTATTAGCTGAGAAGGCTTGGTTCATCAGTGGTGAACCCTCCCATCTAATAATTCCTATCATTGCAGTAATGTCTTTAGAGATCATATTTGATAAAATATATCATAATAAACACATATTGCCAAAAATAATTATTACATATTTTATTGAAAGATGGTAAGTGAATTTATAAGTGCATTATTAGCTGGTTGTCTTGTATAGTCCACATGTATTAAGAAATACAGGGTAAAATTTGTTCAGGGAAACTATGGACATGAGATTCTAGGGAACTGTGAATAAATATATACTTATTGATTGAATGTTGTTGTTGTCGTGTCCATTGAAAAGCCTCAGATGTCTCTGTACTTCTCTATCACAGCATTCACAATGTTCTTGGGTGTGTAAAGCTGCTCTGTTCTGGGTCCATATCAATTTTTGCAAGGCTGCAGCCATTGCTGGACATGAGAATATGTTTATAGGTGTTAGTTACATAACAGGACAATTGTTGTATGCCCTGTAGGTTCTTGTGCCATCTGGATGTATTGTCATTCCTTTATATTGTTTCATTCCGAGTCTCTAATTATTATATGCATTGAGAGCAATGCTCTTCTGTGTAATCTAAATACAAGAAAAAAAAAGTGTGTTATGCAACATGTAAACTATCTTCATCCCAACAATGATGATGCTATTAATTACAATTGTTCATCACAATATTAATCTATTGTTTCCCTCTCGACACATGTACCTTATTGTAGGCAACATTTCAATGGGAAGGGAAGGAGGGAAACACAATACAACAAAGAAAGGTGGCTGTTGTTACAACATTTCACTCTGAGCTACAAGGCTATATTCCACCAGGCTTACCTTGGGATATATCGGAGCTACAGAACTAATGAACAAGCTTAATATAAAAAATCTAAATAAATGATAAGGTACAATTTGGATTTATAGATTAGAATACAAAGTAATAAGACCATAAACAAATTAATAAATAGTGTGTGACATTTCGGTAACAGCATTGTTACCATCATCAGACAAAAGACGAGATGAAATTTATTTATTTATATTTGGTGTTATTACTTTGTAGTTCAAATTCAAATACATAAATAGTATGTTTCGGTAACGGTGTTGTTACCAAAACATCACACTTTTTTTTTTTTTATTTGGTCTTATATTGTGTTTCTACTTTATAATCCAATTATTGTAATTTATCAAAAAAGAACAAGCTATAACTGGGAGTGTAAGTTACACCCATAGAAGGTAAGAGAGGAAAATAAATGTTAAGTTATACAGGAAAGGAGAGAGAGGTTACATAAGCATTGTGTGTAATGGGAAGGTTGTTAAACAACTAATAGTCAGGGCCAATTACAGTACTGTAAGTGGATTTATTTCAGGGTCAACAGTTTGTAGCTAAGTAATGGACTTGGCAGAAGGGTTGGTTCGTCTTCAATTATTATAGAGATCTTGGAAGTGTTGTGCTTATTCAATTATAAAGTGAAATCTCATTTTAAGAGCCTCTTTTATAACAGCAACTTAAAAGAAAATAAGACCTAATCCAAATAATTTATTAGTGTGTGACGTTTCGGCAACAACATTGTCACCATCATCAGACAAAAGATGGTGATAGTGACAATGTTGTTGCCGAAACGTCACACACTAATAAATTATTTGGATTAGGTCTTATTTTCTTGTATTATAATCTATAATCCAAATTGTGCTTTATCATAACAGCAACTTGTTTAGAAGAACAAGTTTCTGTAACAATTCTGCTACAGTAGAAGTACCTCCCTGTAAAGGACAACACCTAATTACAGAGCCAAAGTGTCCTTTGGGGAGAGGTGTACTCTTACCGGAGAACTACTAAATAGTAAAAATGACAATTTTTCAAACTAAAACTGTCCTTTGTAGAGAGGTGTCCTCTAGCATGAGTGTTCTCTCATGGAGGTCCTACTGTACCCAAATTTCACCAACAGTTTATCTATCTGGTCTTATTACCTTCCAATCTATAATCCAAATTGTACCTTATCATTATATAAACTAATATGAAAGGCTATAAACACAAGGTAATAAGACCAAATAAATAAATAGTGTGTGACGTTTCTGTAACAGCGTTGTTACCATCTTCAGACAAAAGTACTGACATTCAGTCTTTACATTAGTACTTTTCATATACATACATTTCATTTAAATTTCAGTACTTTTGTCTGAAGATGGTAACAACGCTGTTACCGAAACGTCACACACTATTTATTTATTTGGATTTAATATGAAAGGCAATATAATGGGCCATCTGGATATAAGAAATGGAAAGCATTGGAAAAAAATAAAATGTTTCTTTTTCATTGCAGTAAGGACAGTAGAAGTATGTTTTATGTGTAAGAGAAACATTCATGCACTTTCATTTATTATATAAACTCTTTGATTATAATGTGTAGAAAGTAGTAAAAAATGGAGAAGAGAAGAAAACTTCACTATTCCCTTGTAGCATATTGGAATATACATTACAAAAAAATGGTATATAAAGTTATGATGAAAAATCATAATTATGGTGAGAGTATCCTTCTTCTTCTTTCTTATCTTCACTCAAGCACACTAAGGTATCAAGCTTGTAAAGCTTGTTGATGGTGTCTGCCGGGGATGAGTATAGCTCATCAATGGATGAGTCAATACAGTCAATAATATGTCTTGGGGTGAGAGTATCCTCCAACATGAGTACTAAATAAGGAACTATCTTAGCATGTCTTAAACATTGTTGATTGATGACTTATACAAGTGCTAACTGCCAATTTGTTCTTATTTAGTGCTCTGGTCTGCTACCCAAATGTCAAGTACAAATTACACTCATGGGACAAACTTAAGTGGAAAGTCTTTGAAGGAGACAGAGACTGTTCACACTTGGTTATCTCGTGTGTCTTCAATAAAGGTCACTGTAATATCTTTCAGAGTTATAATCCCGATATACATGTTAAAAGGTACAACTTCCTTAAGTTTTGTCCATGAGTGTATATTGGTTATCTCATGTGTCTTCAATAAAGGTCACTGTAATATCTTTCAGAGTTATAATCCCGATATACATGTTAAAAGGTACAACTTCCTTAAGTTATGTCCATGAGTGTATATTGGTTATCTCATGTGTCTTCAATAAAGGTCACTGTAATATCTTTCAGAGTTATAATCCCGATATACATGTTAAAAGGTACAACTTCCTTAAGTTATGTCCATGAGTGTATATTGGTTATCTCATGTGTCTTCAATAAAGGTCACTGTAATATCTTTCAGAGTTATAATCCCGATATACATGGTAAAAGGTACAACTTCCTTAAGTTATGTCCATGAGTGTATATTGGTTATCTCATGTGTCTTCAATAAAGGTCACTGTAATATCTTTCAGAGTTATAATCCTGATATACATGCTAAAAGGTACAACTTCCTCAAGTTTTATCCATGAGTGTATATTAGTTATCTCGTGTGTCTTCAATAAAGGTCACTGTAATATCTTTCAGAGTTATAATCCTGATATACATGCTAAAAGGTACAACTTCCTCAAGTTTTATCTGTAAATGTATTTTTGGCAAATATGTTTCTTATGATAATTATGATCGCGATATACAGTCCAAATCTTCTTTAATTCAACACAGCCTAAGGGATCAAAATTTTCATTAAATTCTGTGTTGAAATAAGAGATTATACTGTATATATATATATATATATATATATAGTGTTACTCCGCTGCTGTATCAAGATAGTCAAATGAACACACAGGGTCGATAAAGATATCTGTTCTCAAGCTATTCACCCAATATATTTCTACAGGGACACATTATTTACTGTATTGACTTCATCCATTGATGAGCTCTACTCATCCACAGCAGACACCATCAACAAGTTTAATAAGCTTGATACCCTAATATGATTGAGTAGAAATAAGAAAGAAGAAGATTTCTACAGGGCACACAAACAGCATAAAACAGAGAACAGATGATGGTCTCAACAGGAACACAATGCCAACTGCCATCAGCTGTCATTCACGCCCTCTTCCCTTTTAACCTTTTTTATCCCAACAATCCTCGCTGCCTGGCCTGAACTTAGGCATGGACGTAGGTCTGGATGTAGCCGTAGCAATATACAGTAAAACCCCTCTATAGCAAACCCCAAAAGAACTGAATATTTGGTTCATTATAGCCATGGTTATAAACACAAGGTAATAAGACCAAATCCAAATAAATAAATAGTGTGTGATGTTTCGGTAACAATGCTGTTATCATCATATAGTATTATAAGATCATATAAGATCAAATGCTGTTACAGAAACGTCACACACTATTTATTTATTTGGATTTGGTCTTATTACCTTGTGTTTATAATCTATAATCCAAATTGTGCCTTATAATATAGCCATGGTTTTTGCAAGGTTTTTTTCACTATGTACTAAGTGTCAACCTCAACCCTAAAACACTTAATTGACTGTATTGACTCATCCATTGATGAGTTCTACTCATTCCTAGCAGACACCTTCAAAAGTCTTGAGCTCTACAAGCTTGATACACTAATATGATTGAGTGGAGATACGAAAGAAGAAGAGATGGTTCATTATAGACATTGTTCAAACTATGGTATAACTAATATTGGTGAATATTCAAGTTTGTTATAAGGGAAGGTTTACTATATCCCTGTTAGCTTGGTCAATTCTATAGTAAAAGTATAAATGGAAATTTTGCCACAAAAGGAACTATTTTGATCTAAACAAAAATAAAAGGATACCTCTCCTGCTAAAATAAGCGTAAAAACTATGCGCATATATATTTTTTTATAGAAGAAATGTAGGGGAGAAATTGGTGTTGAAAAGTCTCCCCATAATTTAGTTGGTGTGGGTAAGT